GTTGATGTAGCGGTGTAAACTAAGTCTGGACTTAGAAGCGTACGCATTAAGCGTAAAAGGTCTTAGTCGCTGAAATGAACAGCCTGACATGCTTGAACAAAGCGTGCAGTACTGAGTCATCACAGTGAATACTATAATGAGAACTTAGAATTTTTTCCATACATAAAGAGACATCGCCTTGCGCGTGAAAGCTGATATTTTCGCGCATAACTAGAGAACTTTGTTTTATGCGCGCGCAGGGTGCATAATATACTTACACAACGAATGCTATAACAATAACTTAGATGTGTGTTTTCATGCTTGAGAAAGGATATAGTCAAGGACTGTAGTAGGGGTTGTGAATTGAGTGGGGAAGTATATAAATTTCACTGAAGTATTAATCACTAATTCATTTGATTGTGCATATTAATCAAGGCACGTTGTTTACCCTATAAACAGTAAGAAAAATATTAAATACATACTCTAACTCTTCATTTCATAAAAAAAGACTGATTTTTTCCACCATTTCATTGTAGATTCGCTATGAAAATTATTGTTAACGTACAAGCTTTCAAATTAAATAATGAACCTGTGTTCAAAGAACTGGTAGTCATCAATCTCTACGATGAGTATTTGTACCATCTCATTTTATTTTTTCACTACCTTGTCCTTGGGAAGATCTTCCTAGTCATTCGAAAAGAGAGAACTCCTGGCTCATGCAAAATTTTTATGGAATTGATTGAAATTCAAGAAATATTCCATACCATCAACATCCACAATTTAAAGAGGACTTAGGTCGAGCTACTGACGATTATTCAGTCATGATCTACGTTAAGGGACATCGGAAAATTGAGTGGCTCTTCCGATACGTGGATCACGATTTGGAGGAAATAGATTGTCCGTCTTTATGCGAGACAGGATTTCGAAGGCCCCTTATTTGTTCTTACCATCACTTGAAAATGTGGTGGCACTCAAAAGGTGGGTAAAAATGTCTTTTCATTTATCACCTATGCCTCTAGTAGTAATGACGAGGAAGAAGTCATGTTATCGCAGAATAACACTTCTGACGACAACGACGATGTTTTTTTTTTTTTTTTTATTGAGCTTTGGAATCTTACAAAGATTTATTAGCTTATCTACTAACATATTTGTATGGAATGCATATGCATGAGTTCAATTTACATATTTTTAAAGAGATATTAACATAGTTTCGATGTGTATATTTCACAGATTTGATACATAGTTTTCGTGAGCTCGATTAACATTGTGTTATAGAGAAGTTTAAAAGAATAACGTTTTAAAAATGCCGTTACAAAGCTAAGTAAGCTGGGTTCGGCAGATATTACAGTGAGACATTGCATTTTTTCAAGAAAGAGAAAAGAATCCTGCAGTTGTTTGCGTTGGGGTTGGACAAAAAGACGGAGAAGGTAAATGGAGGGGAATATTTTAGTTTGCGTAGGTCACTGATTAGGGTCGTGCGTGAAATATTATGCAGAGGACAATTCCAGAGGATGTGATCTAAGTCTTGTGTGGCGTGGCCGCATTGGCATTCAGGGGACGTTAAGTTCAGCTTGCAGAGTGATGCATTTAGGCTATAGTGCCCGGAGCGGCATCTGTTGACCGTGGTTATGACTTCTCTTGGAAGGTTTCGGCCAGCAAACCATGGTTTAGGATCAGGTTTGAAGTATTTAGAAATGTAACCTTTTCCCTTGAATTGTGCTTGGGAGATGAGAATGGTGTGGGTGTTTGAGATGGCCATTTTCTTGTATTTTTCATGAAAATCGGTGGAAGGGATTTTGATTGAAATGTTAGGATTTGAGAGGGATGCTTCTTTGGCAAGCTCGTCGGCAGAATCATTACCTTGAATGCCAGAGTGAGAAGGGATCCAATAGAAATTTATTGAGTTTGAGCAGCGCTCGGTGAATTCAAAACAACGTCTTCTGATTTCTAGGATGTACTGATTAGAACGAGCAGACGTATTGGAGTTTTTGAGGGAGAGGAGAGCGCTGGGAGAGTCTGAAAGAATAGAGTAGTTGTGTGTAGTGTTACTCAGAGCTATGTCTAGAGCTTGTAGTATGGCGAAGCACTTAGCAGTAAATATGGAAGCTTCAGGATGAAGACTTACTTTAGTAATTTTGTTTAGGGTGGGGCATATGCAGGTGCTCCCTACAGAGGGAGAGAGGGGAGATTTACTTCCGTCGGTGTAAATGGCGATCGAATTATTTTGAGCGGTTAAGCTCTCGATTTTAGAGTCCGGGTTAGATGAATTTTTTAAGGAATTGCCAAAGTCAGTTATAATGTTTAAGTTGAGTACAATAGAGTTATATTCTTGAGTATAAATTTTACATCCGGAGCTAGATTAAATGGAGTTTGCAGAGTCGAGATCTTTGATGTAGGAGGAAATGAGGCGCTGGTTTTGAGAGAGGCGGTGGTTGATATTTAGTAGTTTTTTTTTTGTATCGATTGATTTTTTGGCAGGTTGGGAGAGAGGTGTTTGAGTTTATTTTGAGTAAGTAGATGTGACATAGATACTTCGCTCGTTCTTGGATTAAGGGTAGTTTTGATTCGGCAAGGAGGATATTGGCGGGGGTGCTTTTTCAGAAACCTAGGGCCAATTTGATTGCAGAGTATTGAATTCTCTCGAGTTTTTCAATTTGTTTGACCTGAGTAGGAAAATAAATAAAGCAGCCGTCTTCAAGGCAAGAGCGTATGAAGCTCTTGTACAAGATTACAAGAGTTTCTGGGTCCGCACCACACCACGTACCTCTTATAAATTTTATGATATTGAGGGAGCGCAGGTTTTTAGCAAGAAGAGAATCAATGTGGTCTTTGAAGTTTAATTTGTAATCTAGTATAATACCAAGAAATTTTACGGATTTGCTCGAAGGTAGAGTGACGTTATCTACAGAAATTTCGGAGGAGCCAGGGGGAATGTTTTGGTTGTTAAATTGTATGTAAACTGTTTTAGTCGCGGAGAATTCAAGGCCAAGTTCGGAGAGTTTTTGGTGGATTTTGTTTACAGCTTTTTCTAGGAGTTTATTGCGCGGTTTGTTTTTTTGACTGTAATAAACGGCTATATCGTCAGCAAACTGTAAGATATTTACGCTTTTTGGTAGATCGTTCATTATGTCGGAAATGTAGATACAGTAGAGGAGAGGGCTAAGCACGCCGCCCTGCGAGACGCCACGATTTGCTATCCTAGATGTTGTTCCTAGACTATCAGTGTGAACAATTCTGTCAATCAGTAGAAACAAGATAAATACGATGACATTGGCAGGGCAGCCCATTTTTGACAGTTTTGCAAGGAGAATATCAATTATTACTTTGTCAAAGGCACCGCTGTCGTCTAGGAAAGCTGCTAAGACACTGTTTTTATTGGCGAAAGCTTCTTCGGAATATACAAGAAAGTTTGTAAGGTTATCGTGGGTCGATTGGCCTTTCCGGAAGCCCGTTTGGCTGCGAGGAAGGAGATTGAAATGTTCAATCCACCACTGCATTCGGTTCTTTAACATTGTTTCAAAAAGCTTACACATACACGATGTGAGAGCTATTGGGCGTACATTAATGCCATCGGATTTATTAATGAAATGAACATAAGAGTTTTTCCAGCTGACTGAATAGCAGTTTGTCGTGTACATTTCGTTGATATGTCTAAAAGAGCGAGTTTGTATTTGATCGGAAGACGCTGAATTACCTCAAAGTCGATACCGTCCATGCCAGCGGAAGAATTTGAGTTTTTGTTTTCAAGGGCTACATTAAATTCAGTAAAGGTGAAAGCCTCGCTTAGAAATTCATTTTCAACGCAGTCGGGCAGGTGGGCAAGGTTCGATGAGCCCCAGGGGGGGCAAATTTTATCGAGAGCTTCTTCAATTTTTGATTGAGTTTGGAGGTTTTCGGATGAGCTGTCCGGCTTTGTTTTAGCCCATTTATTTTTTAATATTTTGCTAGCATTGCATACATAACTATTGCTAGTTCTAAAATTAATTTTGCTAACAAAAGCTCTGTAGTGGGCTCTTCTTTTTTTTTAAATAATTTGGTAGCCTGGGCGCATGATTTTTTATAAGAAATAAAGTCAGTGAGTATTTTAGTGAAGCGCCAGCGCTTGAAGGTCGAGGTTCTAACTCGCTTAAATTGGTCACACTCAGCGTCCCACCATTTCGCCGGGTTACGATGAATTTGGTATTAACCTGTTTTTTCTTGGGAGAGTTTTTTACGATGGCCTCGGTTAGGATGTCAGTGAAAATATTATACTTTACTTTAGCAGGAGACGTGACGTAGTGATATGTGAGAAGTTGATCTAAGTTATTTTGTAGGTTATCGTGAACTTTTCCCCAGTTCGTTCTAACTGATTTTATATTAAAAGATTTTTTTCGGTAAATAGCTTTGGTAATGAGTACATTAATATAGATGGGGAAATGGTCCGAGCCTCAGGTATCTTTTGCGAGTTCAAATTTAATTTTGTGAGTTATGTTGGGGCTAGAAAAAATAAGATCGAGATTTGAGGAGGAAGAGCCCTGGACGCGAGTGGTGGAGTAAAAGTTGTGTAAATAAAGGTTAGATTTGTATATGCTTTCCAGTAACCTCTCACCATTTACGTCATTGTTGCGATAATTCCAGCCTTGGTGGTGCGAGTTGAAATCTCCTAGAAAAATAGTGGGGTCGCTTCTGTCAGTGTTGCGGAGTAGTATATCCCATTGGGCTTCGGAGAGAGAGCTATCAGGTGTGCGGTAACAAATGATTAAATTTAGGGTGGGCAACACGTTCGTTATACGGACACCTGCGATTTCGACTGATGGATCCGGACTGATGAGATCGGTGATTTCTGTATACGCGACATTATTGCGTAGAAGAAGGACACCTCCACCCATGGAGTGTGTGCGATCTTTGCGGAAGGTTTTGAATCCGGCAAAGTGAAAACTCTTGTTTGCTTCGGAGAGCCATGTCTCAACACAAGCAAAAATGTCAAGTTTCGATAGGGCGTTTATAAGGTCTTCTTGTTTGTTGACAATACTTCTTGGATTTCAGAACATTAGCCTCAAAGTTTTGGCGTCAGTAGAGGTGTTGACAGTTGCGTTTATTTGAGAGTTGCTATTATTCTTCGAGCTCGCCATTTTTAGAAATTTGAGTATTTGAGTATTGCGTTGAGAAGAGTCGCTTTCTGTATCAAGATCGGATTCCGAGCCGGTGATGTTCATTTTGGAGAGTTTCTTTTTCAGCCTGGTTAGACGCCCTTTGAATGAACTACTATTGATAAGTTTATATACTTCGTCGATAGTGTTAATTATGCCTTCTATATTGTCCGTGACTGAGAGAGCAATTGAGAGAGCGTTGCTTTGCCCGTAATTTTTTTCTAAGACGCTCTGGAATACATTTATATGGACGGAAATAGAAATTCGATTTTCTTTGATGGCTTCAAGCACGGGTTGTAGATGGTCTTCAACACTAAGGGAGTCAGTAACAGGTTTGGGAGAGGTCTTCTTTAGTTTCTTTGGAGAGGGGCTTTTAAATATTTTGGTAGTATTGGCTGCGATAGTGGCGTTGTCAGTGAATACGGTAGTGGGAGTGGCAGGTTGTGGGAAAGATGACTCAGATGAAGAAGATGTTGAAGGAGGAGGGCTTTTTTGAGCAGAAGGTTTGTTGAAGGTGGTAACATTCGGTGCTAAAGTGTTTGCGTTGTCATTCTTAGTCGGCTTGGTTTGAACAGTTGGTAGCGTCGTAGAAGAAGTGGTAGGAGTAGTAGCAGTGGTAGGTAGACTTGGGCATAGTTTAGCTGTGTGCCCGCTTTCTTTGCAAACAAAGCAGCACATTGAGTCGGTACTGAAATAAATCCAATAGGTAGTGTTGTCGTAGGTGAGCTGTACAGATTCGGGAAGCAAATTTACTTCTTCTTCCTTGATATATATCTGTCTTCTGAACGAAAGAATGTGCGACCTTCCTGGTTTAGAGAGACCTGCTCTTATGTGGCTTATGCCCGAGACTGGTGTGATTCCTCTTTCTTTGAGGCAGTTCAATAATAGGTCATGCGGAATTATCGGACAGACATTCGAGATAACTACCCTTTTGTTTTTTCCGACGAGGGGCCTGATTTTGAGATTGGTGTCTTTCACGGTGAATGTTTTATCAGACAAGGTTTCTACTAGGCTGGAGTTGATGAGATAGACACACACTCGATTGCCAGAGATTTTGGATATAAACTTTATGTTGCTCGCGTCTGTGAGAGTTTCAAGGCCGTCGATGTAGTCGTCTATTGTGGCGCCTTCGACCGAATCGGTGATGATCGCGTGGTCTTTTCTTGGTAGAGGAGGTTGAACCGTCGCGGAGGCATAGCTGTTTGGGTACTGTGTGAAAGAAGAACTGGAGAGTGAGCCCGCAATGGCAGCGCCGTTATTTAGCGCCATTGCAGGAGGTTAATTGGGCAAAACAAACTGTAACCGCAGTCTGAGTGCAAGAGGGCTTTTGAAGTCAAATGTGAGGACGGCTTCACTTTTACACTAGGATTAAGCGAGTAATTTAAACAGTTCGCGCACAATTTGGATTAGCAATGTCAAGCAGGAGATATACCACTAAGCTTGTGAGTAAACACGTCTGCTCGCTTCGGTGTCTTAGACCCGACTCCGACGACGATGTTTATGTTGACGAAGCATATTATACATCAGAAAGTATTTCAGTAACTTTAGCATTATCATCACCAATAGTGATGATTAAATGTATTTTGATATGATGGATAGATTATATTTAGAGAATGAAGAGCAGGGGTATGACACCGTGAATTAGGGGTGGAAAAAGGATCATATATACAAAGCATCGATCAGGTGAGCATGCATTCAGATTTCTACATTCTGTGTAGTATCAAGCATAATTACATTCATTCAATATTAAGAAAATAATAAGTATGTAAAAAGTTTGACTTTATAATTACAATACTTAAATACTTAATACATTATTTTTATAATACATATAGTTTACTTTTTTTCTTTCTTTAATCTGTTTGAAGATCCAAGTCCATGTCAACCAAAACAAATTAAAGATTTGCAGTAAAATGTTCTCTATGCTATTATAGGCGTAAAAAAGTAAACACTAAGTATGGGATGAAAATCGTTTGAAAGTTGGATGTGTCATTTGATATTTTCCTTCCCAAAAAAGTCAACGAACTTCTCGTTCATAACGAATCTTCATATGAGACTTTTAAGAAAGTGGTGGAAGAACGGGATATAAAATTAAAATCTCTTGGAGAATGTTTGATTGAATTTGTGTAGATAATTGAAATTTGATAATAAAAAGACCTTTTCTACTTACGCAGACCTATATATTTTTTCTTTCACTTTGACTGAGATCATAAAACAATTAATTATCCCTCCCTACACTTTCTATTCAATACAAGGCATCACGTTTTTTATTTTGACATTGATCATGGGCCTATGCACGTCCATACACAACAGTCGGTAACTGCCGCCCGGGGGTATGGGACTTGCATATCAGTACATAACAGTCGGTAACAAGCGATGTCGGACAAGTAGGTCGACCGTCGATAAACACCCGTCGATGAAGCAGCCCACAAGACGGTAACATATAGGGTGATTACATCACCGACTGCCAATAAAGAAGGAATTAATACTTAATAAATTAATAATAACTGGCATGGTAAGTGGCTCAGGATCTCCATAGCTTATACTACTCAAAAACAAAAAATCATATGATAGTTGCTTATATATAATTTATAATTACCAACCAAATTTCAACAAATCAAAAATAATAATGCCAAAATGATAATAAAATACTATTTTGAAAGTATGCATTATTCATCTTATCTGAAATAGCAAAATAAAATAGTTGTCAATTGACAATTATCTTTTTAAAATTTGAATGAATATTATTATCAGTATCGCTTTTTTTAGAGGCTTTAATTAAGTCTTATTCCAAAAGTATTATATATATATATATATATATCTTCCAACCCTTGAGGCCATGGTTTTTTAATGATTTTAGAATCGGAAACATGGAACCAGTCATTATTTTTGGGCAATACGTTGAAATATTCTCCACATTCTAATTTATGGCACAACGGAATCTTGCATTTATTATTCTATAATATTTATCATCGATGACAAGTTTTTTTGGTACATGAAATTTTTCGTCATCTGTGCACTGCAGTGCACCTATTATGCAACCCAAACTATTACCTTCTTAGGGTGGCATATGACTTCAAGCGTACAAAAACGATAAAAACCCAAAACCTACCTATGCACGAGACGAAAAATATAAAAATATGGCAGTCTAGTTTAGTCTAGTTCTAGCACTACAATCATATTTTGCACCTAAACTTCCTGAAGCAAATTCGTTGCCAAATTCTTACAGAATAAAATAAGCACTTTTCTCTATTGAAATGTAAAGTGCACAATATGATATTATTTAAAGTTTTTTATGCATAATCCAATAGATGGAAATTTTTGTGAACACTATTTCATATATGTAATAATAAAGTGCACGATTGTCCGCCCGACATAGGTACTGTAATAGCTTGTTGCCAAGTATTCGTTCAAAAAAATGAACATAGGCAGTTTTCATTAGACTTACCCAAGCAGTAATTACAAATGCAGTTGTAATATTCAATGCTGCCGATCATAGTAAAAAGAAAGTGGGGATTAAAGCATTCACAATATCAGTAGCAAAAAGTAACAGTCACAATGCTGAAATAATCAGGAAAAACATAAAACAATTTGATAAGATAAACAAAATATGTGTTCCATTTGCTCAATAAGTATATGTATTTACTGTAAGCACTGCAATTTTTTTTACTCTTACAGTCCAAGTATGAAAAAAAAGGAATAGAATGTCTGAATGATACGAAGAGGTCAGGGGACTCACTGAAAACAAGCACCTCGTACAGTGAGAGGGAAAGGTACTCACTATAATAAATTCACGAAGGAGATCTAACTTTACCACGTCCACACCGTTATCTTTAAGGTACGTTTAGAGTAAGATCTGAATATAAACTAAAAGTAGGTATATTTCATAGGCACTTGGGTAATTATCTTTATTTCGAGCCTTTTGGAAAATGGAAATACCGGACATTTAGACCTAACTTATTTTGTGAAATTCTTTGACAACAATTTTTGATAATATTTTGCTCAAAAACTATAGGCTTTGGAAATTAATTTATAAGAATAAAAAGTATTGGAATTAGCCAAAAAATACTTTAGAACTTTTCCAGATTTTTCTGATAACTTTTTTGAAAATATTAATTTGGCGTTATTTTGAAAAATCAAAAATTATCTCCAAAAAATTCAAGAGAGTTCCTCGATATATTGTAAAATATTTTTCTTTTATAAAAATTATTTCTAAACCTCACATTTCTTGAGAAAAAAAGTTACGAAAAATAACTTTTTATTAGGTTTTTGCATTTTATCCTTCATTTTCGAAAAAAAGCTCATATATACGAATTATTTGTTAAAGTTCAATAATTTCGTACACTGATGATTAGAAAAAATTGATGAGAAAATATTTTTTAATTTTTCTCTATTTTTTTTGTGAAAAATCCCGTTATATTTAATTTTGCAAGCAAACTTTTTGAATAGTGAGCACGGATTCAGCATACCTAAAAACATAAGGAACGGTACCTTGGATCAATTTATTATTTCGTTTTACACATGAATTTTGCGATCAAAAACATATCCGAAAAATGACGCCGATGGTCGTTAACGGGTTAATAAGTTGGATAGAATTATAAGGTAATTTTTTTTTTAAATACATTTTAAGGATGTATCTATATTTTTGTTAAGACTCCACATAAATTTTCCTTTTCAGAATTGTGTTGTATATATATAAATTTTATTTTTAATACAGGACTACGAATTGTTCCTGATTATTTAATATGCTAAAGATTTTGCTATTACCATTTAATATATTTAATATAATTTATCTAAAGTATCTGTAACAAAATAGTAACCACGATAGTTTACAATAAATTTCTCTAATTTCAAAAATTTAAAAACAATTTTAAAATATTAATAAAATACAATTAAGACACAGAGTGAGATTCAGAAAAAATAATAAATATAAAAATATATAATATTCTTTTACTTTATTCAATTACAGATTATTATTTTTTTATTTTTAATACAAAAGAGCATGACTATTATAAAAGCATTCTTGGACATGTTTTTCTTTGAAAAATTTTTTTTTCAAATAAATCTTGAAGATTCAAAATAATTACATTGTTTCAGAAACAAAAAGGTAAGAGTATATTAAACCCCTTTATATACAACGATAAAAAATATAAATGTGTATCTAGTTATGATTGCATAAGAAAATAAATCATGCATTCTCTGTTCAGGAATTTTTAGTTTTTTCCGTAAAATTAATAAGCCAAGGTAACTATCTAACGAAAACAAAAAAATGTAGCGAATAGCAAAAACTTGAAAAAAATATAAAATAAAGCTTCTCCTCTACGAAAATCAAATTTATTCAATAAAAAATTTTCTCAGATCAAAATCAAATGCAAAGTTTACACGCACAGACGTACGCACGCACGCACGCACACACACAGACACAGATAGTGGGGGAGGTGACTCTACTCATGACTATAGGGAACCAAGCTTAATGCTTACAGGTACCTAGTCTACCTTTGTAGCATTCCACATGGGTGTAGTTCTTGAAGACATAATAATTATAACAATATACCGCTTGTACCAAGTATTGCCAAAAATACCTGTTTACAAAAAATTGTTTAGCTAAATATCGAAAGAATAATATTATAAATTTTGTGTGTGTGTATGCGTGTATGTATATATATAATTTAGTAAATATTCTTAATTCTATCTCTATTTGAAATATAATAACTAATATCAAAATTAGATTATCTAATTAGAAGCAATTATTAAGTTTATAATTTAATTGAAAGACGGTGAACTTAGTAGTGAGAAACTTTTTAAAACTAGATTAACTTTAATAAGGTTTCTCTGTTACGGAAGCCGGTTTTAGTAATTTTGTTACACTTCTGATACAAATTATGAATATTAAACTAGGATTGACAACAAGACATATTAATTATTAAAAAAACACGAAATATAAATCAAAGTTAGGAGAATTGTGGTAACGATTTTTTTGAAATTCGTAAAGAGGTAAAGTGAAATAAAGCATGATAATACCTACTCATTTAAAGTTCATTGACCCTTATTAGTGATATCGTCCTTTAAAGTGGACAATATTTCAAAATACCAGCTTAATAAAAATCAAATTTGTTCTTTAAATAACACAAATCGACTAATATTCTGCAAGTTTAAATGCTTGAGAAGTCAAATATCGAATTTCTTTGAGTTAAATTCGAGTTAATTGTTTTGATAAAACTGCAAATGCTAAATATTCAAATAAAGCTGTGACTCTAAGAGTTAATACTTTTGAGTAAGGTTAATTACAAATTTAATTATATTAATGTAGAAATATAATTTTTTCATCAATAATATGCTTTCGTCGAATATATAGATGTCTGGTATTCGGTATTCAGTATAATCTCTAATGCAAGAATAAGTAAGACATTTCATATATTTATTGTACCAAAAAATATCCCGAGTTATTGTGACGGACCTGATGGAGTTAATGATTGTAATCATTCGAGCAGCCAATGATGGTCGTACGACTCACCGCATTAGTTGACAGAAGGTGATACTGAACTTCTTACGAAAGAGTCATTCATAAACTAGAATGTTCTATTCAAAAGAAGTTGCATTCTCTCCGAACTGTTTATATATTTCAAATTAAATTTACTGAAGGCTTATGGCATTCGTTTAAGGTATGAAGGTCTATTTTCAAAAGTAATACTGGATTTATATTCCTTTCTTGACAGAAATTCTTTTGATTCAGTCGATGTATTTTAGAGAACTTATTTTACCAAATAAAAAAAATAAAAGAGAGAAAGAAATTAAATTATAATGTAGATTAGACAAAGATAAAGATAATTCAGCACTTAGAAATTTAATATATCTTTGATTTGTGAAAAAAGTACTCTTACAGGTTATTTTATTGGAATAAGAGATAAATTTGAAAAACCGACTTGAAAAAATATGAGTTCTTCAACTTACAGCGATGCCTTGGTAAATTTTCATTATATATGTACATAAATGAAACGAAAGAATTTATAAATATTTCTTGAAGATATTCGTTTATATATATTCATTTAGTTGCTTACGGATAAGTAAGAATATTTCCATTTTATAAATAAATTGTAGTATTTATATCAAAGCATAGATGGTGTTTAACTTTATGAAACGAATATAATCTCTTACGGAAAAATGTGTACATAATAGGAAAAATAGTTTTGGACGATGAGAGATGTCGGAATAATGTTTATAATTAAATATTTAATTTTACTAGGAATATATTGTCTTTTTTATAATTATTTGAATATATTTTTTTCTAATCATCGTATCGACATAAGTCTGGTGGAGTAATTAGATTTCTAATGCCACCAGGCTCTTATTCTGTATTAGGAGTAATATGAAGAATAATTAATTAAGTCTTTCAATTATTTTATTGCATTTATGAAATCCAGTAGACGACAGGAAAAATTCAAAATTAGTTAACAGAGAATAAAAATCTAAGAACCACAGACAGGACAAAGTTAGAAGCAATACATGCAAATAAAAAAAGAACAACTCATGAGAAAGAAAAGTATAATGAACCTAAATGACAAAATTTCTAAAAAGAAGAGCAAAAATAATATTCCAAAAAGATATGCATAATTTATATAGAAGATTCAAAGTAATAAAAGTAAAAAAAAATAGTCACAATGACCGCATCTATAAATAAAGATTCAATCACTCATTATCAAAGACAAATGGTTGATTAGAAGTAATATGAAATGAGTTACATTCTATCTTAGATAGCAAAATGTGAGTTATAGTCAACAGATGGCCAAAACATAAAAAGGAATAAATCTACTAGACTATAAATAGATACCCCCCCCCCTCCCCCCACCCAGCCACTACACCGTTGCTGCAGGCGAGTAGGCATGATAATCATACAATTTTTTTTATTATACTCAAACTTGCTCTTCAATCTTCAATAGTTTTGCATGCTATATTGGTTTCCTTGAACAATTATATTCCAGACTTTTTTGTTAAATATAATGCTGTAATCATAAGAACAATCAAATTCATTGCTACTTGTTTATGTTTTTATCCAAAGTATATGTAAATATACGTGAATAACCCTACTTATTCTAGCTATAACGTCGAATAAGTATACTAAAAAAATACGAGGTCTGTCCGGAAAGTATCGGGCCTACGTTTATATCTTCGCGCCATAGTGTTCGAGAGACCTCTACCGGATAGAAACGTCAACAGTAAAGCCTCACGCATCTATTGGTTACTTACTGATACCTGCCAGACGTATAGTTCATGCGTAGCGTGTTTTTGTTTACAGTGCCTTTTTCGCGTTCGTCGGATTTTGATATTGTCAAAAATGACTGAAAAAACAAGATCAACGAATTTGCATCAAATTTTGCTTTCAACTCGGAAAAACGAGTTCGGAAACTATTGAAATGATGCAAAGGGCCTTCGGAAGCGAGTGTATGAGCAAAACACGAATAAAAGAGTGGTATAAACGGTTCAAGGTTGGTCGCACTTCTGTCGATAGTGATTCTCGTTCCGACCGACCTTCGACGACAAAAACCGCAGATAATATTGAGCGGGTGCGACTTGCAATTGAACAAGATAGTCATATGACTGTGCGAGAACTAGAAGAAGACCATGGGATACCAAAAACTATCATTTCAGAAATTTCAACCGAAAATGTAGGAATGAAACGCGTGTGTGCGAAATTCATCCCAAAATTGCTCACAGCAGAGCAGAAGAACATTCGCTTAGAAATCGCTCTGGACAATCTGGAAATGGTCAATAATGATGATAATGTGCTTAGAAAAGTTATTACAGGTGATGAATCATGGGTTTATGGTTATGATCCTGAAACAGAACAACAATCTTCACAGCGGAAGCATTCTGAATCGCCAAGACCAAAAAAAGCACGTCAAAGTCGGAGCAATGTTAAGTCAATGTTGATTGTTTTTTCGATTGTGAAGGTGTTGTACATCACGAATATGCACCAACAGGTCAGACAATCAATAAAGAATACTACGTTCAAATTTTGAAATGTTTGCGTGATGCAGTAAGAAGAAAACGGCCGCACTTTTGAGAAAGTGGTGACTGGCTTCTCCATTACGATAATGCGCCAGCGCATTCATCCAATCTTGTGCAGCAGTTTTTGAGCCAACACAATATCGCATTGCTTCGATAACCTTCATACAGTCCCGACATAGTCCCTTGTGACTTTTGGCTGTTTCCAAAACTAAAAAAACCACTCAAAGGACAGCGATTCGATGACAAAACAACGGTTGAAAACAATGCGACGAGTGTACTTAAGGCTATCCCTAAAAGTGAGTTCCAGGACTGTTTTGAAAAGTGGAAACATCGATGGAACCGTGTTATTCAATGAACTAGGAATTACTTTGAAGGATGCCACCACCAGATGATAAAGAATAACGCTAGCACGAAAATATAAAGGTAGGCCCGATACTTTCCGGACAGATCTCGTATTTTTTTTTGGTGGTTTTAGATTCTCATTTTTAGGTTTTACTATTTTTGAACTTAGATTTGTTCCAATTTGACAAAAATACTTATTAATACAAATTGTGATTTGTATTTCCTTTGTTATTTTTCTGTTACTTTCATTTATCATTTGGATTTTTTTTCTATTATTTATTACTTTTTCTAATTTTGTGTTTATTACATTCCATAGACTTTTTGGGCTATCACTGTTTCGTTTGATTAGCTCTTTTTCATATCTTATTTTAGTATCTTTAACAACTTTGTCAAGTATCTTAATGTACTGTTTGTACTCTTCTTTAAGTGTCTCATGTTTTGGATTTTTCTTTCATAAATTGTACAGTATTTCCTTTTTGTTACAAGAGATTATTATCGCATTAGTTATCCAACTTTTCTTTTTCGTGTTTTTGTTTGAACATTTGGATTTATTCAGTACCATTGCACTCTTTTTACATTTTGTTATTAGTTCTATCAAAGTATTTAATGCTTTAATATTATCTTGTTCTGAAAGCACTGTATACCATTTAATTGTCTGGGAATTATGCTTCAGTTTATTATAGTTTATTATTTTTTCCTTTGTTTTTTTTTCTTTTTATAGACTTTATTTTATTTATGATAATAATTAGTAGGAAGTAATAAGTAAAAGTATTTTCTATTTTACGAGCAGTGTATTCAATACTATTAGTTTTAAAGAAGAAATTATCTATACAAGAACGTCCTATAGTATCTATCGTAGGTCTAGTAATGTCAAGAAAGCAGGTATATATTTGTATTCTAAAAAATTACTTATAAACTCTTGTTTTAGTACTCTATCGTAATTGGACTTATTCTTATTACTATTGTTTAGTATGTCTATATGGAAATCCCCCACGATACAGTGGTTTTTAGTATTTTTTTGTTTATTTTCTCTACTTGATGTGATGCTTAAAAATTTTGTTTTCTCAATGAATGTTTCTATTGCAGCTTTTTTTATATTCTGTGTCTTGCTATCACTATTCTTATCAATTACATTTCCAAAGTTTTCTACCTTACTAAGGTATCTAGGTAAGATAGGTTTTATGTCATAATCGGTAAAGTCGATGACTTTACTGACTTTAGCCTTTAGTATTTCACATTTATGGTTATCTGTTGCTATGTGATCTGTTTTGTATATGATGCCGTATTTGCTTTTACTGAAAGTACAGTTTCCACACTTGTATTGATTTTATTCACTACAATATATTTTTTTATTTTTACCAGCACATGTCAGACAAACAGGATCATTTCTACATTTTGATGCTTTATGCCATAAATCGCCACAGTTATAACATGGCCTGACATTAATCTTATCAAAAACTCTGCAGGTTTAATAGTTTACAAAGATTTTGCTATAGTTCTCTTTAATTTGTTTATGCACCTCTGATGTTATATTTAAAATGATGCTTACCAAATGTAAATTTTTTATTCGGATACATGTCTAATATTTTACTTTTTTTATTACAGTTCCTAACATTTCTTCTATTTATATACTTCTCTAATCCTTTCTTTGACATATTTTCAAAATTATTTATTCCAATTACCTTAACTTTTGGATTTTCGATTTGTTCTCTTTTTATTTCACATATATATTTTAATTTGGTATCCAGTGTTGTCATTGCTTTCTCTGTGATATCATTATTCATACTTATGATTAATTCAATTCTATTTTTCTTATGATCTTTGTTGTTTGTATAGTTTTGTCTTTAAGCTAAGTAATGCGATACATGTTTATTTATTTTATCTAGACTGTTTTCTTTATTTTTCGTTTTTAGCTTTTATTTGTGCAATAACCACTTCTACCTATTCACTCTGTATTTCATCACGTGTATTAGAGGTCAGGTCTATGTCTTTTACATCAAGAGGCACCAATAGCAACCAAAACATTACAAAACTACATAAAAAAATCACCTTCAAAATTGGATTAACTCCTGGAGAAAAATAGTAAATGACAGCTAATCGATACATACGACATTCACACTTCGAAAAGATACCTGTCCTCCTATATATTCCGCAAAGCAATAAGTAAAATATCTAGGTATTTACCTAGATCAAAGACTTACGTATAAAAAACATATAATCTCTAAACGTGAACAGTGGTGTTTAAAATGGAGGAAAATATACTGGTTCATCGAAACAACATCGGAGCTGTCAATTGAAAACAAACTGCTGCTATATAAAGCTGTACTTCAACTAGTCTGAACATATGACATTTCACTATGGGGTACTGCTTCTAACTTAAATACCGAAATCCTAGAAAGATTCCAATCTAAATTCGTACGTAGTATAGTACTACCCCATGGTTTGTACCGAATGAAATTATCCGGAATGATTTACAGATACTTAAAGAAGAAATTAAAAAATTTTATCCAAATATAATTCCAGACTTCAAAACCACCCAAATAAATTTGTCAAGAAACCTCTCAAGATATAGTAACGATAGAGATAATCATGCAGTAGAGGTGGCGTGTCTAATG